AATCTTCAGCAAACATCCCCATCATCTTATGATGGAGAGAAGGTCAATGATGAAGCTGAAGATGGTTGGGCTTAGGACACTAGCTTGAGGAGCCCCTGCAAAGATGTCCTGGAGCTGAAATAACTGACTTCAAACAACAACCATCCTCCTTTGTGTCAGACATGACACTGCGCAGTGGAAATATTTCCCCGTGATTCCTATTGACTCTAGTTTTGCTATGGCTCCTTAATGCTACACTTGGTCAATGTGGTCTTTATGTCAAGGACAGTCATTTTTGCTTCATCTCAGGAGTTGAACACCTTGTCATGTTTGGATCAAAGATATAAAGTAGTCAGAAACTGAGTGACCCTGTCAGAACCCAAACTGAGTGACTCAGTATCATTAAAAAGGTTATTGTTAAGATAATGCTGCAAGATTGCTCTGTTGGTTATCTCTTCCATCACTTCACTTTACTGATGATTATGAGTAGAGTGATAAAGCAGTAAATGGCTGAAGATTTGCATTTGTAATGCTGGGGACCTCTGAAGGAGAGAAAGATGGATCTTCCACTCAGCATTTCTGGCTGAATATTGTTGAATTGCTTTGGTTCTATTTTTGCACTAATGTGCTAGGCTCCCCCCATCATTGAGGACGGAGATATTTGTGGATTGCTCCTCCAGTGAGTTGGTTATTCTCCACCACTTTCACAAATGGAAGTGGCAGGATTGCAGAACTTAGTTCTGATCCTTTGGTTGTGAAATTATTTATCACTTGTTGTTTACTTATGCCGGTTGGCACACACTGTAGCTTCACCAGGGGTGACACCTCAGTTTTAGCTATGTCTCGTGCTGCTCTGTGAATGCCCTCCTGCACTCTTCATTGAATCAGATTTGATCTCCTGGCTTTATGGTTATGGTAAGAGTAGGGCATATGCCACACCAAGAAGCTGCAGATTATGTTTGAGTATAATTCTGTTATTGCAGATAGCCTACAGCATTTCATGGTTGCCCAGTCTTGAGTTATTAGATATGTTCAAAATCTATCTTATTTAGCATAGTGGTCGTGCCACACAAAACAATGGATGGCATCCTCAATGTGAGAATGGGACTTCAAATCCACAAGTACAGGACAGTGATCAATCCTACACATACTGTCATGGATAGATGCAGAGAGAGTGGTGAGGATGAAGTCAAGTATGTTTTTCCTCTTGTTAGTTCCTTCACTACCTGCTGAAGGCACAGTCTAGCAGCTGTATCCTCGAATATTTGACCATCTTGGTTAGTAGTGGCGTTGCTGACCTATTCTTGATGGTTGACATTGAAATCTCCCACATGGAGTACATTCTGCATCAATGTTATCCTCAATGCTATCTCCAAATGGTGTTCAATATTGCTGCTAGTACAGAACATACTCAGGAATTGTATCTGGAATGCACAGATCTGAAGGAACATTAACTCTGCATTTTCTGTGTAGATATTCTAAGACCAGCCAAGTTTCTCCAGCAATTTCTGTTTTTGTTTGTTTTTGATCTCCACTGTCTGCAGTTCTTTGTTTTATATTAATATCTGGACTTGCCTTACAAGTAAACATTGGACATTGGTTTGAATCGACTGAAGTTAGAAGAGTAAGAGGCAATTGACTAAAGCGTGCAAAATCCTGAGAAGGTTTTCAAAGGGTGCATGTGGAAAGGATGTTTCCTCTCGTGGAACTATATGGATGTACACTTGCGATGCCAAGGCATACAAGTCTATGAGCTAAGTGTTGGAAAACGGGATTAGAATAGTTTGGTGGTTGTTTTTGACCGGTATACACTCAATGGACTGAAGGGCATTTTTTCTGTGCTACTGACCTCTACGTCTTTGGATAGTTTCCAAAACTCGCTTTACTACAGACTCCATAAAAATGAAAATTCAGCTGGTGTATTTGAAAAGGAAGCTTGGTATGATAGACTAGTAAGTGTCACAAAAATTCTAGGCAAACTACTTGAAACATTGCTGCATTATAAATGATATTTCTAGTGCGGTGGGGTGCAGGTTAATAGGAAATTACCATATACAGATTCAAGAAGGAAAATTGTCAATAGGTTATTTATACAAAATGACTTCAGGAAAAGAGTTCAACATATGGAACAAGCTGACACTGCACACCGTAGAACAGGAAACTTTAAGGAATTTCAAAAAGGAAATGGCCAGCTTCCTGTCATCTGAATAGATTCACAGTTGCAAAAATTTATAAATGATTAGTTCATCGTCCATAATGTTGTTCATGGACTTTTCTTCTCATTTTGATTCCATTTATCTTTCAGTTTTCAAACGTTTACTCAGCAACACAAGCAAATTACTGAACTGGTTATCTTAACTTGACAAGACCATTAGCTGAAATGTATATCTAAAAGCTGGAACTTAAGTGAAGATGAACTTAACATTAGATAATGGCAGTTAGAGGACTGAGAGCTGATAACATGACAAGTAACTGACCTGAGAATATTGTATGCAAATATATGAGTCTGTCAGGAAAAATAATATCCTTGAAAATTCAGTCAGCTTTTTATGGAAATGGAAAGGCTCTACTTAATATACAACCTCAGCATAAAAAGACAATATTCTAAGGAACTGAAGAATAAATAAATAGATGGGATCTACAGAATTATTCAGCAGCATATTCTAACACTGCAGGATTGACATTTTCAAAAAGAATAAGTCTCAAATTCAAAACAATTTTTTAAAAAAAGTAAAAAAAATTAATCCAATAGTCTGAGGAGAACAATCAATAAACCTCGCAGGCTCAGTAATTTTTTAAGTAAGTGTGACTTAATAGCAGATCTAAATATAAAATATTTCAAATCACATAGAACTGAATAAATAATCAATAACTATTTGAATGTTGACTCAATATTGCCAAATGATAACACCAGAGACATGAGCCATGGAAGTCAAACCAAAATAAAAGAAACATTAACTTTATCACTCAATGTTGTCATGATCCCAGCTAATGCTGTTAGTGGGCAAGTCAAATCTCAGACAGGAGCCTGCCTGGCTTGCCAGATCATATTTTGATTTGCTTTTGTTTTAATGGAGTGGTCTCTCGCTGAAACACAAGCACATAATGCTGCAGATTTTGCTTCAACAATAAAACAAATTTATTCCCAAAGAAACGAAGATAAAGAAAAATAAACCAAACATCTACTTATAATACAAGTTCAAAGACTTTTAAACACACAGTAAAAGTATAATCCCAAAACAATTCATAGATTGAAAAGAAATAAAATAGCTTTTGTATAGTACCCAGAATGCATCCTTGGAACAGTAACAAAAAAAAGCACTTGTAAAATACTCACATCAGAGACTCTCCATCTAACAATTCAGTTAGTTTAAGTCACTTGTGGCTTAAACTTTTAGACTACTACTGCAGACAGCTTCTTTATGGAGCAAGCATGTACCATGTTTAAATGTTTCCAGTTTTAAGTAACATCTTCAGGGCTTTATCCCAACATCTGTAGTCTGGGATGAACACTAACTCTCCACTCTGAGGAAACAAGTTCACAATATATTCCTTCTCAGGTACACTGGTCATTACAGTCATCTTATTCCAAGGACTGCCAAAACTCAAAGTAAAACTGAAACCAAAAGTCTCACTTTCTAAGCTATGTGTATTTCCTGTGGGTTTAAGAAAAGGGTTCCAGGTGGCCTGAACAAACACTGATTTGATTTGATTTATTATTGTCACATGTACCGAAATACAGTGGAAGGTGTTGCTTTGCGCGCTATACAGGCACATCGTACCAAACAAAAGTGCATTAGGTAGCAAAACAGAGTGCAGAATATAGTGTTACAGTTGTAGAAAAGGTGCAGAGGGAGAGATCAACAATAGTATTTGAGAGGTCCATTCGAAAAGCTGTTCTTGCATATGTTGGTGTGTGTTTTCAAACATTTATATCTTCTGCCCAACGTAAGAGGATGGAAGAGGGTGTAACTGGGGTGGGAGGATTCTTCGATTATGTTGACTGCTTTCCTGAGGCAGCGGGAAGTATAAGTGGAATTAATGAATGGAAGGCTGGTTTGTATAATGGACTGTGCTGTGTTCACAACTCTCTGTAGTTTCTTGCAATCTTGGGAACAGCAGCTGCCATAACCATGCTGTGATGCATCCAGACAGGATGCTATCTATAAAAATCGATAAGATTTTATGTGGACATGCCAAATTTCCTTAGCCTCCTGAGAAAGCAGAGGAGTTATTGTTTATTCTTGACTGTCATGTCGACATGGGGGGACCAGCACAGATCATCACTCCCAGGAACTTGACGGTGTCAACCATCTCCACTTCAGCACCATTGATGCAGGCAGGGATATGCCCTCCACTCCCCTTCCTGAAGTCGATGACCTGATCCTTCATTTTGCTGACGATGATGGAGAGATTGTTGACTTTATACCATGCCACAAAGCACTCAATCTCTTTCCTGTACTCTGTTTTGTCATCGTTGAGATCCAACATGTAGTGGTGTCATTAAGTTAAATGGAGTTGGGGAATAATTTGGCTGCACAGTTGAAAGTATATCAGGAGTACAGTAGGGGGCTGAGTACGTAGCCTTGCAGGATATTGCTGTTGAGGATTATCGTGGAGGAGGTGCTGTCGCCTATCCCTAGTGACTCCAGTCAATTGGTTGAGGATCAACAAGAAGTTGAGGATCCAATTACAAGGTGGGGAGCCAAGACCTAGGTCTCGGAGTTTGAAGATGAACTTGTTTGGAATTACGGTGTTGAAGGCAGAGCAGTAATCAATATGTAGGAGATTAATGCAGGTATCCTTGTTATCCAGATGTTCCAGGGATGAGTATAGGGCCAGGGAGACTGTGTCTGCTGTGGACCTGTTGCACTGATAGGTGAATTGCAAAGGATCTAGGCAACCTGCTAGGTGGAGTTGATGTGAGCTATGACTAAGCTCGCGAAGCACTTGATAATTATGGAGGTCAGAGCCACTGGGCAGTAGTCATTGAGGCATGCTGCATGATTTTTCTTTGGCACTGGGTAGATGGTGGTCTTCATGAAGCAGGTGGGAATTTCAGATCGTAGTAAGGAGACGTTAAAGATGTCTGTAAATACTCCTGCCAGCTGGTCAGCCCAGGATCTGGGTGCACGGTCAGGGGCTCCATCCGGATCAGTTGCTTTCCGTGTGTTCACTCTCAAGAAGGCCAATCTAAGGAATCCAAGGTTGGCGGAACAGGAGACATTGTTCCACTGAGGCTGTTACTTATCTTACTGGATCGCAAACTGCTTGAAGATTTTTTAAAAATCCACTAGAGTTGCACAAAAACCCATTCACTCTAAATTTACAAAAGGGAAACCAAGCTTGACAAATCCACTAGAACTTTTTCAGCATGTAACTGGTAGAGTTGATACGGGAGAACCAGTGGATGTGCTTTACTTGGACTTTCAGAAGGTCTCACATAAGAGATTAGCATGTAAAATTAAAGCAACATAAAGCATGGGATTGAGGTAGTGTGCTGACCTGGTTAAAGAACTGGTTGGCAGGCAGGAAACAGAGTAAGAACATGTGGGTCCTTTTCCGAATAGTGAAGTTACTGGTGGGGTACAGCAGGGATTAGTGCCTGGACTCCAGCTATTCACAATACATAGTAATGGTTTAAATGAGGGACCTAAATGGAATATCTCCAAATGTGCAGATGACACAAACCTGGGTGGGAAGATGAACTGTGAGAAGGGTAAATTACGAGGAAGATGCACAAGCGCTTCAGTGTGATTTGGACTAGTCGAGTCCTACGGTATTAAAGAAAGTGTGGGCGGAGGTAGTGGATCCATTGGTTACAATATTCCAAAATTCTCTGGAAACGTGAAGGGTTCCAGTGGATTGGAAAAATGCTAATGTCACAAAAATGTTCAAAAAGGGAGGGAGGCAATATGTGGGAAAGTGTTAGAATCAATTATGACGGAAGCAATATCAGGACATTTGGAAAGTCCAAACACTATCCATCAAAGTCAGCATGGTTGTATGAAGGGCAAATCATGTTTGCCTAATTTGCTAGAGTTCTTTGAAGATGTAACAAGAAAAGTGGATAATGGAGATCCTGTAGATGTAATATATCTGGATTTCTGGAAGGCATTTGATGAGGTGCCACACAAAGGGTTAATTCACAAGGTTGAATCGTATGGAATTAGGGGTAATTTATTAGCTTGAATAGGTGACTGGCTGATGTATGGAAGACAGAGAGTCAGGATAAGTAGGTCTTTTTCCGAAAGGCAAGGAGTAAATAGTGGTGTGCAACAGGGTTCAGTCCTTGGACCCCAGCTAGTTACAGTCTACATTAACGACTTGGATACAGGGAAAGAAGGCTCTATAGCCAAATTTGCGGATGACACAAAAATACGCGGGACAGTAAACAGCAATGAGGAAATAAGAACCTTACAAATGGATATAGATAGGTAAGGAGAGTGGGCCAGAATGTGGAGTTTAATGTGGATAAATGAGAGGTCGTGTATTTTGATCAGAAAAATGGGAAGGTAACCTACTAGCTAAATGGGGAGAGACTTCAGGGTGCTCTGGTGCAGAGTGATCTGGGTGCCCTCGCTCATGAGTCACAAAAAACTAGTATGGAGGTACAGCAGAAACTAAAGAAGGTGAATGGAATGTAGGCTTCTATAGTAAAGGAATAGAATATAAAGGGAAGCAAGTATTGTTGCAACTATACAAGGCATTGGTGAGACTGCACCTGGAATATTGTGCACAGTTTTGGTCCCCTTATTTAAGGAAAGATGTAGTGGCATTGGAGGCATTTGAGAGGAGGTTCACGAGTTTGATCCCAGAGATCCGGGGTTTGTTGTATTAAGACAGATTGAACAGTTTAGGCCTATACTCTCTGGAATTTAGAAGAATGAGGGGAAATCATGTTGAGGTATGATAAAAGATATGGATACAATAGATGTGGAGTGGATGCTTCTTCTTGTGGAGCATTCTAGGACGAGGGGTCATAGTCTTAGGATAAGGGGTAGCAAATTTAAAACAGAGCTGAGGAAAGACTATTTCTCCCAAAGGGTTGTGAACCTGTGGAATTTGCTACCCCAAAGTGCAGTGGATGGTGGGACAGTGAGTAAATTTAAGGAGGAGTTAGTTTTAATTGGTAATGGGTTGCAGGGTTATGAGGAGAAGGCAGGAAAATGAGGGTGAGGAGCATATCAGCCATGATCGAATGGTGGAGCTGACTACCATGGGCTGAATAGCCTAATTCTGCCTGAATATCTTATGAACTATGAAGTGAGTGTGCAAATGTAAGATGGAAGAAGTATAATGTGGATAAATGTAAGGTTATCTGCTTTGGTAGCAAGAACAAGAAAGCAGATTATTGTCTGATTTGTGGTAGATTGTGAAAGGAGGAGGTGCAATGAGGCCTGGATGTCCTTGAACACCAGAATCTCAGAATTGTTACAGTGCTGAAAGAAGTTATTCGGCCCATCATGCCTAAACAGCTCTATCCAGTGCCAATCTCCTGCCTCTTCCTCATATCCCTGCATACCATTACAATCCAAACAAACATCCAATACTTTCTTGAATGCCTGAATTCAACTTGCCTCCATCATATGTCCAAGGCAGTACTTTCCATACCTTAACAACGTGCTACAAGAAAAAGTTGTTTGTCACATCACCCCTGCTTCATTTGCACATCACTTTAAATCCTTGCCCTCGTTCTTATTAATTTACAAGAGGAAACAGCTTGATTTGATTTGACTTGAATTGATTTATTGTCACGTGTTCCTATGTACAGTTAAAAGCTTTCTTTGCAAGCAGTACAGGCAGATCATAGTAAGCAGGGGCATACAGATCATAAAGTGCTTGGACAGAGTGAGGCATACAGGTTACATTGCACAGGATGTGGGCAAAGCAAGATCAACATTAACAAGATCAACTTATTTTGAAGTTACACAGTCCATTCATCAATCTAATCCAGTAGCAGGGAAAAAGCTGTTCTCGAATCTGTTGGTGCATGTGTCCAAGCTTCTGTATCTTCTGCCTGATGGAAGAGGTTGGAAGAGAGCACTACCAGGGTGGGAAGGGTCTTTGATGATGCTGGCCGCCTTTCCACGGCAACAGGAAATGTAAATGGAGTCCTAGCCTCTCTGCTCCTATGATGCTGCTTGGCCTGCTGTGTTCATCCAGCCCTGCACCTTGTTGTCTCCATGGATGGGAGGTTGGCTTCTGTGATGGTCTGATCTGAGGACGCAACCTTCTGTAGTTTCACAGCAGTTGCCATACCAGGCTGTTATACACCCGGACAGTACGCTTTCTATGATGCATCTGCAAAAGTTGGTGAAGGTCTGTAAAGACATGCCGAATTTTCTAAGCCACCTGAGGAAGAAGAAGAGTTGTTGTGGCTTCTTGACCACCGCATCTATGTAGGAGGTCCAGGACAGATTGTCTGTTATTGTCACTCCTAAGAACTTGGCGCTCTCAACCCTCTCAAGCTCCGCTCCATTGATGTAGATGGGGTATATGTTCTCCGCCTTTCTTTCTGAATCAACAATCAGTTCTTCTGTTTTGCCGAGACAGGTTGTTCACATCGCACCATGTCATCAAGTCCTCTATCTCCTTTCTGTATTCTGACTAATCGTTGTTTGATAGCTGTATTACTACAGTGGTGTTGTCAGCAAACTTGTAGATGGTGTTCATTTGGAATTTGGCTACACAGTCATGGATATACAGTAGGGGGCTGAGGACGCATCTTTGGGGAGCTCCAATGTTCAGGGTTATCGTAGAAGAGATGCAGTTGCCTATCCTCACTGATTGTGGTCTATAGGTCAGGAAGCTGAAGACCCGGTTGCAGAGGGCGGAGACAAGACCTAGGTCTCAGACTTTTGAGACCAGTCTGGAGGAGATAATGGTGTTGAAGGTGGAGCTATAGTCAATGAGCAAGAGCCTGATGTAGGTGTCCTTGTCATCCAGATGTTCCAGGGATGAGTGCAGGGCTAGGGAAATGGTGTCCGCTTGGACCTGTTAAATCAGTCAGCAAATTGCAGGGGGTCGAGGCAGGCTGGGAAGCTAGAGTTGATGTGGGCCATGACCAGCCTCTTGAAGCACTCCATGATTATGAAGATCACAGCCACTGGGCGTTAGTCATTAAGGCACATTGCATATGCTTTCTTATATACTGGGATGATGGTGGTCTTCTTGAAGCAGATAGGGACTTCAGTTTGTAGGAGAGGTTGGAGATGTCAGTGAATACCTCCGCCAGCTGGTCCACACTGGATCTAAGTGCACAGCAGGGGCCTCTGTCCGGGTCCATATCTTACCTAGGGTTGACTCTCAAGTAGACTGAGCTGACATCTAAAGCAGTGACCACGGGAACAGATGCGCCCAGGGCTACCGGGGCAGGTGACACCATGCCGCTAGCATTCTGCTCAAACCAAGCATAGAAAGCATTGAGCACACCAGAGAGGAATGTGTTTTTGTCCACTATCTTGCTCTGCTTCATTTTGTATCGCATTATCTTGTTTAGGCTTTGCCACAGGTGGTGGGTGTCTGTGTGGTTAGTTTGGGCCTCTAACTTAGTCTAGTACTGCCTGTTGGCATCTCTGATGGCTTTGTGGATGTCATATACAGATTTTCTGTATAGGTCTGGGTCGTCTGACTTGAATGCTGCACGCCTGGTCTTCAGCGGGGAGTGGTTTTCCTGGTTCATCTAAGGCTTCTGATTGGGAAACACCCGGATCGACTTCTTTGGTACACAGTCCTCCACGTATTTGCTAACTAAGTCTGTAATGGCAACTGCACACCTATCTAGATTTTCTGCTGAGTACACAGAACATAGGACAATACAGCACAGTACAGGCCCTTCAGCCCACAACGTTGTGCCGACCTGTTATCCTACACTAAGATCAAACTACCCTGGATACTTGAATACTTGAGTACTTGGTCCAGTACAGTGAAAATGGTCCAGTCTACCGATTCCAAGCAGTCCCGGAGATGCTGATCCGCTGCCTTGGACCAGCTTTGTCCTTCTTTTTGTGAAGGGTTCTCCCGTTTCAGCTTCTGCTTGTAAGCTGGGAGGAGGAACACAGCATTGTGATCTGATTTTCCGAAGTATGATGGGGAATGGAGCGGTAGGCGTCTTTGATGTTGTGTAGCAGCCGTCCAGGATGTTCAGTCCTCTGGTGGGGCAGGAGAAGTGTTTGCGGTATTTTGCCAGAACCCTCTTGAGGTTCGCTTGATTGAAGTTGCTGACCACGATGAATAAGGCCTTGGGGAATTTCATCTCCAGAGTGTTTGCGACAGTGTAAACTCCATCTAGGGTATTCTTCACATCTGCATGGGGTGGTATGTAGACTGCTGTGAGGATGGCGGAGATGAACTCACGTGGCAGATAGCAGATTTGGCATTTTACTGTAAGGTATTCTAGGTCCAGGGAGCAGTGGCTCACCAGGGTTGCCATGACTGAGCACCACAACGTGTTGATTTGAAAGCATTTACCGCATCTACTCTCTCCATCTTGTTCATGATTTTGAAAACCTTAATTAAATCTCCTCTCAGCCTTCTTCTCTCCAAGGGCAAATAATCCCCACTTCTTCAATCTACCTTATTTCTCATATTTGAAACAATTCCAGTAAATTGCATCCAAATTCTCTCCAACACGTTCAACATCACCTCCTTGCTCTTCTGTTCTATGCCCTACTAGATAAAGCTGGTAACACTGTATTGTTTATTTACTCCTCTCTCCACTGGTCCTGCTATCTTCAATGATCTGGACCCAGGTCCACACCCAGGTCCCTCTGCTCCTGCACCGCCTTTAGAATTGTGCCACCTATTTTATACTATCTCTGTGTTCTTCAGTTGCTGAAAGTAAGCATGCAGATACAGCAGGTGATGAAGAAAGCAAATGGTACAATGGCACTCATAGCGTGAGGATTCAAGTACAGCAGCAGGGATGTCTTTCTGCAATTATACAGGGCTTTGGTGAGACCAAATCTGGAGTATTACGTACAGCTTTGGTCTCCTTATCTGAGGAAGGATATAATGGCTATGGAGGGAGTGCAGCGAAGGTTTCCTGATTACTGGGATGATAGGACTGATGCATGAAGACAGACTGGATTGGTTAGGATTTTACATAGGAACATAGAAAAGAGGAGTAGGCCATTCAGCCCTGATCATCCAACTCCGTACCCTTTCCTGCTTTCACTCCATATCCTTTGATCCCTTTAGCCATAAGAACTATATCCAAGTCCTTCCTGAAAGTGTACAATGTTTTGTTTTCAAAGGCTTTCTGTGGAAGAGAATTTCACAAGCTCACTACTCTCTGGCTGAAAAGATTTGTCCTCTTCTCAGTCCTCAATAGCTTACGCTGTATCCTTAAATTGTGACCCTGGGTTCTGGACTGCCCAGATGAGTAACATCCTTCTTGTGTTTACCTTGCCTAGCTCTGTTAGAATTGTAAAGGTTTAAATGAGATTCCTCCTCATTTACCAAACTTCAGTGAACAGAGTTTCAATTATCCAGGCTTCAATAATTGTTTTAAAATAAACCACCAGGGCTACACAAATACTTGTAAGGTAATTACTAAACTCAGACACTCAAAGTTCACAAAATCAAAAACAAGGATCCCAAACTTACAAAAAACTATATTAAATATATGTATATAATAAATCCCTCCATTTACATCTCCAATGTTACATTAAAAATATATGATCTGTCCTAAAGGAAAATGAACATAGTCTCATAATTGGGAACTATAAATACAGTCTGCCTAAGAACAGTAATGGCCGTACATTCTGGCAGAGTTTGGCATCCTATAAGAAGGAATGGATGAAATCTTCCCCTTACAGTTATCAGACGGTTGGAGAAATAATGGAGGCATGGTCAAGGAATTTGCATTGTTAGACAATATAAGGTCAGTTGGATTGCAACCATCAGCCAAGTAGCAAATGAAGAAATGCGCCTTTTCTGGAGGGAGGGCAAGCATTGCAAGAGACCAAATGGAGAAGTGAGCAGCACGTTTTACAAATGGCTTCACAGCAATCTCCACAAACCACCAGACTTCAGAAGGCAAGATCATAAGAAAGAAATGCAACTTTTTTTGAGACAGAAGTTTTGCAGGAATTAAAGTATTTGATTTATAGCCAGACAGATATATTTCAGGCAGAAGGTTATTACTCAAAATCAAACAGCTGTAACAGATTATGAATGATTGCAGGCAATTGCTCAAAATATAAAATCCTGTGTAAGATTCATGGGGAAAAAAGGCAAATATTTCATCAAAACATAAATGGCTCAGTTTGCATAAAATATTTCTAGCATTTTTCTCATGTGAAAAGAGCTCCAAGCCATGAAAGGTTGATCATTTAGTACTAAGCTACTAAAACGGCACTGAACTTTTCAGAAATATTTAAGTGGTAGAGGTCTGGCACATTGTTCGGAATTTATACAATTGCCAGCTATGGTGGGAAAATAAATGTGCTCACTGATCAGCAATGCACAAGCTTCTCCATTGGATTGGACAGATGCAATTGGATTTCATGATCAGGAGACCTGGAAACAGAGAACTTACAAAAAAACCTGAAAGTATCATTCAACACTGCACAGAGGAGCTAGAAAAAGCCCTAGAAGTAGCAGATAAAGATTTAACTTTTTCTAAAAATCAAGGCCAAAATTCAAAACTGCAGCTTTCCACACACCACACTATAGTCACAAGGGTTGCAATCATATGGACAGGCAATGGCCTAGTGCTATTATTGTGTTTATCGCTGGTATTAGAGACTCAGGTAATGTTCTGGGGACCCAGGTTCAAATAGCATCATGGCAGATGGTGGAATCCGAGTTCAATAAGATAATCTGAAATTAAGAGTGTAATATGGATCAGGAAACTCCATTGTCGATTGTAGGAAAAACCCATCTGGTTCATGAATGTCCTTTAGGGAAGGAATCTGGCATCCTTACTTGGTCTGGCCTACATGTGACTCCAAACCCATGGCAAAGTGGTTGACTCTTAACTGCCCTCTGGGCAATTAGGCACAGGCAATAAATGTTGGTCTAGCCAGTAATGCTCATGTCCCGTAATGAATTTAAAAAAAACAGCTGTACGAGTAGGCAGGGATATCGACAAGATACTGACAAGGCTATCCTCAGCCTGATGTAAAGCGTAAATTGGATTGCAGAAGTTGGCACAGCTTGGTGATCAGCTCCTGGCATTACTCCCAAGTCAGGCAAAGATAAGAAAAACAAGTTCTCTTAAAAACCCTGGTGGATACACACTTCTGTGAAGAATATTCTATAGCTCTCTGCAACTTCTGCTCCATGCGTTGGTCGGGCAGACGACAAGAAGCAGAGCAACAATTGACCCATATCTGGGTCAGGTTTTTATCAACTTTCCCAGGCTGCAACCATCAACATAGAATCATATAATTTTACAGTACAGGAGGCCATGCAATTTATCACGTCTGTATCGGCTCCCTAAAGAGCTACCCAGCCAGTCCCACTCTCCAGTCCTATCTCTGCAGTCCTCTAAATTCATCCCTTTCAAATATACATCCAGCTCCCTTTTGAAACCTCCTATGGAATCCGCCTCCACCACTCCCCCAGGCAGCACATTCTAAATCCTAACAACTCTCTGAGCAACATAATTTCTCCTCATATCACTCTCAGCTCTTTTGCTGACAATCTTGAAATTGTGACCCCTCACTACTGACTATTGGAAACAGAATATCTTTCTTTAGCTTGTCAAAATATTTAATAAGTTTGAATACCTCAATAAGATATTCAAATACCTCCTAATCTTCTCTGCTCCAAGGAGAATAAGCCCAATTTCTCTATTCTTTCCTTGTATCTAAAATCTCTCATTCCTGGTATCATTCTAGTAAATTTCCTTTGCACTCTCTCCAGGGCTTTAATATCCTTCCTTAAATAAGGTGCCCAGAATTGAACACAATTCGCCAAATATGGTCTAACATATAATTTGTAGAGGTGTAGCATCACTTCCTTGCTTTTATACTCTATACCTTGATTTATAAACCCAAGGATGCAAGTGGGGTTCAACATTAACAAGGAGTGTGAACAGTAATTCAAGTAGCTTATTAAACCAGAAAATTTTCTAAAATAAGATCACAGCTATTTAAGTGTTCTAAAATAAATTATTTTGGGCATATTTAGTTACTTTACTGGTGAAGAGAAAGTAATTTATTCTAATTGCTTGTAAAACTGAATCAAATAACTGGTGGGCTAACAGAACAGCAGGCAGTGTCAGGCACATGACCTTAGGATTGCCTTAAATCAGCCTCCAAAAATTAGGCCAATAGTCACACCTGAATGCTGGCTAAGGGCTAATGTTAATTAAACAATGAAACTTTAACTATTTCTTGTCATGCACAGAAGATGAGCCATCAAACACACAGATGGCTTGCGAAAGAGGATACAAAAAGTTCACCTCCTTCAGATGTGTGTCATAACATGTCTGAACAGGTTGATTAGAAATATCTAAAGATGTCCTATCTTTTCTGA